GAGCAGACTTCACCTCCCTCGGTAGCAAGGGAAAGGTAGGGCCCGAGCCAGCGTCCTCCCGAGAAAGGGATTAGCAGGATGTTAAGTGAAGCCAGCTCCTTATCCCTTCATAAACAGTTATTAATATCCTGGCCAGCTTTGGGCTTGGCAATTCCCCCTTTGCTTTCAAAGGATATGGGCCCAGACAGAGCCCTGAAGTGTCAGCACAGGCAGTGAAGTCCCCCTGACAACACACAGACACAGAGCTGTCCCTGTCCCGTCACCATTATCACCAGTACCATTAGTGAAGAGCCTGGCAGGAGTGATGTGCTGATGGGCTGCAGTGTGCCAGCAGCAGCCAGGACTCATTCCTCCCCACTCGTGGTGCTTGGCACGCTTTGGCAGTGCTGGTTGGCAAGGAAGGGTGAGCTGGGGCTAATTGTGACCATGGGCTTTAATCTGGGGAGGTGGGAGCATAGGAGGCTGTCAGGAGATGTCCCGGTTGGAAGGGAGCCTGCTGGCCGGCCTTCCCGACTGATAGCAGAGAAACTGCATGAGCAGCCTCAGCCTCCTGCTGCTGCTGTTCATCATTTCCTCTGTTCAAACCCTCCAAAAGCTGCTCCCCCCCATCCCTGGGGCTCTGCACGGGCACATTGACCTCTGTCACTGCGGGGTTTGCTGGAACTGCCGTTCCACAGGGCACACTGTGCTGCCCCCCAAGCCGTCTGAGCTCTGGTGTCAGCCTTTGTGGTCCCAGCTCTGGTGTGACACTGCAGGAGCATCACATCCCCCTCCCGCCATCAGCTCAGCGCTGCAGGCTCCCCGGTGCTGGTCCTGCCGCAGCCAGGCAGCGCTAGGGAAGGCAGGAGGGAGCTGGGGCTCGCCCTGGTGCCTTTGTCCCCCCGGCAGCAGAAGGGTGACAGCTGCTCCGGTGCAGCTGCCGGGGCATCCATCATCCGGGGCGGGATGGAGCGGAGCAGCCCCATCCCAGCCGGGCTCTCAGGGATTGTTCCGTGCCCGCAGGGGCAGGCAGGGGGGCAGGAGGGGCTTTGGGGTGAGGGACAGCCCCAGGCAGGGGTGCAGGGCAAGGCAGACGCCAACAGCTCCAGCTGTGCACGCTCCCTGCACACAGTACGGACCGTGCGGTGTGCACCAGATGTGTGTGCAGGGGTGGGCACCGGGCTGAGCTGTGGGAGAGGAGACTGCGGGATATGGCTGTTTCCACTGCTGGACCTCCTTGCTTGGCTTTGCCCCTTGGTTTCCTTACTGGGATGAGACTCCTTCATCCCAGCTCCCAAAAGAGATGGAACCGCCCGCACCCAGAGCTTGTGCTGGGGAGGACAGGACAGCCTCAAGAGCATGGGGAGCAGGAGCCAGGCCAGTGCTGGGGAAGGCGGAGGGGGTCTCAGCTCCATCCTCAGCTCAGGTCCTAGCACAGTGTCTCCATCCCTGTGGCTGAACGCTGACACGGGGCGCAGCTCCTCTCCTCCCTCCGGCTCCTCTCCCTCGAGGTCCCCCAGCTGCTGGGGCCACATTTCACCCCCTGCCCGCGGCCCCCCCAGCCCCGCAGTGTAACTGAAGAAGGCACTAGGCTGCAAATGGTGCGTGGGGATTAGCCGGGGCACAATCGGGGCCTGTGAGAGTGCTGGAGCACATGGTGGGCAGGGAGGCAGCGCGGGGGCTGCTCTCAGTGCCGCAGGGTCGCTGCAGAGCTCGAGTTCAGCTCGCTCTTCCCTCCTGGGAGATGATCCATAGCCCGATAAATCCACTGCCAGGCCCTTCCCCCTCTGGAAATGGGGCTGGTTTACACTGTCCGAGGCATGGCAGCAAACAGGCGTTGTCAGGAGGAAATCGGTGCTTTCACGGATAAACCATTCCCTCCCGTACCCGCATGTCTCCAACAGGAGGGATTTGTCTTCTCTCTGTGCTGCTCAGCTGAAAGCAAGACCTCAGGGGACTTTGTCTCCACAGACAAAGCTCAGCGCCATACCATGAAATGGTGACTCGAGGTGACAGCCCAGAGCCTTAAACCAGTTGGACTTGTGCAGGTTGCCGGTGGGAGGGGAGGGCACAAGGATGACCACTGGGACCAGGCCATCTGGTAGACCCCTGGCACAAAGTCAGCCCGATGCCGTGGTGTCCCCCCCATGTCACCTACAGCAGGACACTCCTGATGACTGCTGGCCCCCAAAACTGGGCTGCAATCACCCACGTTCCCCCCCTCACACCCTGTGGTACCCGGAGTATGAAACCTTCACCCGCAGACATCCCCTTGCCCAGCAGCCTGCCCTCATCAGCACTTCCCTCTCCAAACCGAGATGGGAATAGTTGCTGCTCCGGACAGTTGATTATTTAAAGCTGTCGGGAGTGTTTAATTTAACCCTGGATTCATAATCTACAGCTTGTTTCCATCCGGCAGACACCCGTGCTCCCCCTCTCAGTGTAAACTCTGCCTCTGCCAAGCCCTTCACCTCCAGGCAGATTCGGGCAGAGGTTTACAGCAGGGGCCGTGGCCCCACACTGGGTTCCCCCAGTGTCCCCGCTCTGACTCGCACAGCGAGGGATGCTGAGGCTGGGATTTTGGCTGTGCGTCAGGAGGAGGAGGTGCCAAGCCCCTCACTGCTGCCTGGGCATGACCCAGGGGAGCCCCGAAGCCTTGGTGAAAGAATGACCCGCAGGGGAAGCCTTTCTCACTGCAGTTATCCTCTGACAACTTGTCTTCCCCTGTTCACTGCAAGCCCCTCCATCACATCCTGACCCTGCAGCCAAGCTCTGCCAAGGCTCAGGGTGCCTCCTGTGTGTGGCTGCGGCTCCTGCCACCGTCAAACCTGCCCGTGGCAGGGTGAGGAGCCGGAGTGCTGGTATAACCCAGCTGTATGTGGCCTGCGTGCCTGCCCCCCTGCCCCAGCCCCTGCTGCAGGCATGGGAAGCATCCTCAGAGCTCACCCAGCAGCCATGCACGTGTGTGTGCTGAGGCAGTAGCAGTGCCCTGCCTGCCATCCTCAGAATCCCAACCCACCCCGGCATCCCCTGCAGCTCTGGGTCATGGAAGGTTCCTCCAGGGCTGGCTTAGCTCAAACCTAAGCCTAGCACAGGCCCGACTCCATTTATAGAAAGCTGCAATTAGAGGCCAGCAGCTTCCCCAAGTGCTTCAGCAACAGAATGCACATGGGCAAGGGAGAAACATCCCTGTCAAATCCCAGGCACATCCTTGCCATGACCCCTGGCATTGCAGTGCTCAGGGCATGGCTGTGGGTCTGCAGGACGGGGCTGGGAGACTCCACTGCAGGCAGCTGAGTGTGGGGAAGAGGTGAAAGTGCTGGAGCATCCCCAGCACAGGAAAGCCACTGAGAAGGTGTTTGGGAGGGCAATGAGGGCAGCAGTCCCTGTCAGTGGGTCCCCAGTGTGGCTGATGGGGTTCCTACCTGGGAAGCCCCCTCCTCTAGAATCAATCTAAAGAGAGAAGACAGCACAGCCACCTTCCTGAGGCTGCATCCAGGTCCGCTGTGGTGCCAGCTCTCCTGGATGCGAGCAGCAGCAGGTTGTGCTGGCCAGAGGGAAAGCAAGGCAGCAGCAAGGGGCAGGAGGAGGAGCTCTGCCAAGGGGCTGCTGCCTGCTCCCTGTCTGCCTGCACGGAGAGAAACCCCAACTCCACAAGCCCCAAACCTGTGCCCTAAGCAGAGTGAGTGCTCCTTCTTGTGGAAGGCAGAGACCAAGGCATCTGGAGAGGCTTGGCTGCAGCATCCCTCCTCCAGCCCTCCACCGGATGGCAGAAATCCCCTGCTCCCAGAGCCAAGAGCCTCTGGCCAGGAATGAGCCAAAAAGCTCATTTAAAATCTTTCAGCCATGCAACTGGAAGAACTTAATACGCAGCAAGAGGGGGAGTTACTCACAGCTGCCAGTTAGGGCCCGGGACGTTTATAAGCAGGGAAAAGCACCTAAATTGCCTGAATTAACTGCAGATTGCTGGCAGGCTGGCCCTGCTCCCCACAGGAGGTGTGGGAGCTGGCGGAGGAGGCTGTGAATCCCTGCACATCCCTGTGGGAGTGTGAATGTAAGAGAGTCCTTCCTGCCTGCAGCATCCCGGAGCCAGCGGATGCTGGTGGCCTCAGAGAGGTCTGCGGTGACCAGAGCTGCCGGCCAGTGATGTATCCTGTACACACAGAGCATGGCTGATGCTGAAGGGGTCACAGAAGTGGTATTTATGGACAGTGCTCCAAAACTTTAACTTCCCCTTCAGTCAGAGGGACAAGATTTAACCCCATGCTGAGATACGGTGAATAATTGGGATCCCTCACCAGCACCCTGAGAGCCTGCTGGAGTGTGCACTGCTCCCCAGGCACTCCTCACCGCTTCCCTCACATCAGTCACCCCCAGGATGCTCACATCCAAACACTCCTGAGCACCACATGCCATGGGCACGCCAGCCTCACACGGCACCTTCCCTGGGCAGGCTGTAATAGCTGGTCCTCTGGAGTCCCTGGATATGAAACGTGCTGGAGAGCCTGGGTGGCTGCCAGCGCAGCCGGTGCATGGGTCTGTATCCATGCAGTACCCACACTGGTGCTGTGAGCACAGCTCGCAGAGGTGGAAGGTGCAGGGTGTCCCCCATGGACCAGCAGAGCTTGGAGCAGTGGAGGGTGCAGGGTGTCCCCCAGGGACCAGCAGAGCTTGGAGCAGTGGAGGTGTTCAGGGATGCTCCTCACCCGACCAGAACCATCGATGACCACTGAGGCTGCAGGGACAGCCCAGCCAGCGAGACACCCGTCTCCTTGGCCCTGCTTTCCCTGCCAGCCCAGCCAGCCCGGGCTGCAGGAGCTCCTCCAGACAAGCCTTGTCTCCGGAGCCCTGCGGGTGCTCTGCTCTGATAACCACTGGCAGTGGGTGCCGCAGGGTGCCCAGGCTGTGCCTCATCACACACCATCCCTCACCATCCCTCTGCAGCCAGGGGCCAGTGGGCTGAGTGTCCTCACAAGCACACAGCCCACCACAGTGCAGCCTTCCCCCTTCTCTGCTTGCAGCTGGCAGTGGAGGTGGCATCTCAGCGCTGGACCATGGTGCTGTGAGGACGAGGTGTCCCCTTCCCGCTGCTGAGCACCAGAATGCAGCCTGCCCCTCGCCGCAGCCTGGCCCTCGCCGCACTCCTGCTCTGCCTCCTCCTGCAGCAGCTGGGCAGCAGCAAGGCATGGAAGCAGCATGCCCCGCGCCTTCGTCTCGCCTACAAAGGTAAGGGGGCTGCCCAGACGGGGGTCCTTGGGGTCTGCATCCTGCCTGGGAGGGCTGGGAGAGCTTTCCATAGGCAGGGAGCAAAGGGGGCAGCCGGGCAGGCAGTAGCCCCACTGCTGTGGCTGCAACATCTCCACATGTTGGGCCCTTGGGATGATTTATGGATGCAGCTGCAAGCACAGCACCTGAGGATGCTGCTGGTGCTGTGGCATCAGAGCACCTGAGGATGCTGCTGGCATCAGAGAAGGGTGCTGAGCAGGGAATCCCCTGCCCTGGTCCGCCACAACATGGGGACCAGAATGGATGTCTCCTTCTGCTCAAACTCACTCTGGGCATTTTCTGGTGTGTCCTGGGCTGGAGCTGACCTGGGCAGCCCCAGGGGAATGTCCCCTCTCTTCATGCTCACAGTGCAGTGGGGACACTGAGCCCCAGGCAGTGCTGCTGGCCCCTTCCCCTGCCTCCCACCCGCACAGCCCTGCCCCAGCCCAGCCCTCCTGCCTTTACCCCTCCTTTCCTGCCCTCCTTTCCATCATTTCCCTGCTGCACTTTACCCTTCTCCCCTGCATCTCTCTTGCCTGTTGAGATTACGAGCCCTTCAGGGGAGGCACAGGTTGCTGATGCAAAGGAGGGGCTGCTATCGGTGACCTGAAGGTGCAATGACAGCGGACTGACAGGGAGCACAGTGCACAGCCCGGCAGAGAAGTGCAGAAAGGGAGCTTCTAGGGAAAGGGTCTGCAGGGGAATGACCTGAGCAGTTAGAGCAGATCCCTGCAGCTGCTCACCCTGCCTTGGACCTGCAGCACAGGCTTGGCCAATTTACCTGCTTTCAGCTTCTCCTGTGTGAAAAAGAGCAACTTGCTTTGGAGGACAGGCGGCTCAGCACATCCCCAGTGCTCAACCAGCCCTTCTCCAAGCTCTGAGGTTGCAGTGCAGCTTTTCCAGTGCTATTGCACTCAAAGCTCTGGTGCCATCCTCTTGGCCTGCCCCATCACCCTGAGAAGCTGCTCTCCAGCCAGAGAGGTGATTGATGCCCCCAGCTTGCGGCTGAAGAGAGCTGGACCTGCCGGGGATGCAGGATATCCCTGCAGGGAGTTGATCCTGCTGATAGCCCAGACTGGAAACACTGTGCAGGGTCTGCCTTTCCTTGGAGCCAGAGGAGGCAGAGCAAGGCTGCAGGAGCACAGAGGGACTGCTAACTTCAAAGCCCCACAGCGTGCTGGGGCCAGACATGCCAAAAGCCCTCAAGTCTTGGGCAGAGGCAGGAGAGGAAGCTCCCAGCATCAGGAGGGCTCAAGGACAGCATGAACAATGGCAGGGGATGTGAGTCACGGACAGCACGGGGCAGGTTCAAGGACACAATGCCTTGAGAAGTTTAGGTTTAAAACCCCCTCAAATAAATAAATAAAAGGAGGCCTTTGAGAGTGCGTGTGCAGGATCAGCCTTACCCTCAGATCCCAGCATGGGGGAGGCAGGCAGAGCCCTTGGCGGGGCCGGAGGAGAAGATGCAAGAGGCTTGAGAGAAGGAAATGACAGCACCAAAGGCTGGGAGAGCAAAGGAAGGATGGGGCATGGGGCACGGGGCCAGGAACAACAGCAGTGGCTCCCACCCTGCCAGGGAGGTTTATAATAGCACACCAGCAACCACTGCCTGTGAACGGCAGCCTCCGGGTGCTCTGGGTCAGCCCGGGTCAGCCCTGGTGCTCTCTTTTCCTAGGCCATGGAGCAGTGCAGCTATGCAGTGAGCCCACAGCATGCCTCCCCGCTCCTCTTACTGCAGTGACCAGGGCAGGCACAGCAGGAGCTGGCAAATGGGTCTTGTGCCAGCCTCTGATCTGCAGCCAGCCCAGCCGGGCAGGACCAGAAGCCATCTCTATGCAGCAAGCGGCTGGTGGGTCTCTGGTTATCAGCACCAAGCTGCACTGGCACGTCTCTTATCAGCCAACAACAGCGAGAGGCTGGAGCCAGGCTTAGCACCAAGCTTCCCCCTGGCTTTGGGGATGTCCTCCGTGGTCTGCCCTGTGTGGTGGCTGAGCGAAGGGGAGAGGGCAGCCCTGCAGCACAGCCGGGCTGTGACCCCAGGAAGCCCAGGGTCGCCCTGCACGGAGGATGCTGTAGCTGAGGGGCAGGCGGAGATGATGGATGGGACAAGGCGGTTACAGTGGTCCTGACAAGAAACAAAACCACCGTGGCCTTGGGAGACAATGAACACAAAGGAGAGGATGTTCCTCCGTGCTCATCCATCGGTTCAGCCACCGTGCAGCTGCCGCAGAGACCGCCCGGTTCCCTGCCTCGAGGTTGGGGTTTGGATCAAACGCCTGATGTGTGTGGCACTCAACATCCCCTTGGTGAGGGAGCAGAACTGCCACAGCGTCAGGCTCAGACCCTCATTGTCATTCACCCTGCCACAGGGCTCATGGTGCCAGTGCAGGGTAGCAGCTCCTCCCTGGATCCTCCCGTGGACTATCACAGCAGCAGGGAGGGCTCCTCTGTCATCCTGCCTGACCTTGTCCTCATGATTAAGGCAGAGCTACCTAACTGCGCCCATTGACCTTCCCTCCCACCCACACTCCACTTCCCAACGACTTGCCCGACATTTCCCCCTGGATTGGGCAGGTGCCGGCAGTGTTGGCCATCACAGGAGGGTGGGTGATGCACAGCAGCGCGCTTGGGACCCAGCGGTGACAATGGCCCACAGGCAGGGACAGGAATTCATCCCGTTCAACTGGTGGGAAATGGCTTGGAACTGTGCACCCAGAGGAGAGCCCTGCGGCACCCAAGGGTAGGGGGGATGAAGTGGGGCTGTGCACGGTGGGGGCAGGAGGAGGGCCAGGAGCAACCTGAGGCAGGCTGGTGGCAGAGGAGGGTTTGTGTCCCGCAGTGACTGGAGCCTGACCCTGGCCGAAGGGGAGAAGGAAGCGCCAGTGGGAGTGAGCCTGGCTACGGCGGGTCCGGGCAGCGCTCCCTGCCTGCTGCCGCGGCCCGGCAGGTCCTTCCCCCGCACGGACCACGGACGTCAGTGGCATTTCCAGCCCGCAGGCACCGGCCCCGCTTCCCCTCTGCCCTGGAAACGGGGGGGAAGGAAGAGAGACGCAGGCTCCGGGGGAGCCGGTTCCCGTCGGATGGAGCCGTGCCCGTACCCACGTCCATCCCACCTGCACCCGCGCCCGCACGTCCACCGCTCCCTCTGACAGCTTCCCCCTCTGCTCTGACACACTGCTCCAACCATTTCGGGTCATTTCTCACACTGGGGCTTACGGATCGCCCTGGCCTTTCCAGCCACACTCCACCTCCCATCCAACAGCAGGCTGTCTCCAGGCCCCCTTCCCATGGCCCTGTGTTTGCACCTTCTCCTGCACAGCACCAAAGGCAAGAGCAGCCTTGCCAGCGTAGCCAGCCTGTCCCTAGCGGTATCCTGCCACTCCTGAAGAGGAAAGCAGTGTGCTGTGGCTTCTGGAAGCTGTGAGGTCCAACCTCACTGCTGGCCTCCCTGCCTTTATCCCTGCGAGCAGGCGCTTGCTGGGGCGGCAGCTGCTGTGATCCCATCTCCGGTGCTGGGGGATGCTCGCCCCAGCAGCCAGCCCCAAACCTGGTGCTGCACATCACAGCCCCAGGGGTGTTGTTTCGGGAGTGGTTAACCAGGAGACAAGAGCTTATTGTGCCTCTCGCACACCCACATGCCTGCAACTGGGCTGGAAGGGCCATGCTGGCCACCTCGGGCTGCTGCACAGGAGGGGCTACAGCCTGAGCAGCAGAGCCTTTCCCACTGCCGTGTCTCTGCTCCGCATGGAGCTAGGTCCATGGCACACTAAAAGGCCTTAGGGTGGGCGAGGGAAGGTGTCCCGATAGGGCTGTGGTGGCACATACCCTTGGAGGGATGCTTTGCCCCAGCAGATAGCCAAAACCCATTTTTTATGTAAACTCCTCTGTTCTGAAGCCCAGGGAAACACGCTCAGAGTTAGAGCAAGCAATTCTCCTCTCTTCTTAGCCCTCTCTCCATGGTTTCATCGGGCAGAGGCTTTAGGACTCCAAGAGCTCCTCTGAAATGGAGCCTGGGCTCCTTGGGCCCCCAGCCCTGCAAACCAGCCCAGAGCATGGTCAGCGCAGGTTTCCCCTTTGCAGGGTAACTCACTGTTTCCTCCAGGCAGGCTCATGGGAGCAGGCTTCAGGAGCTTTGGGGCACCAAGGTGGTGGGGTTTGGCTAGGGCATTGGCTGGGAAGTTGGGCTCCCTTGGGCAGACATGGGTAGCCAGAGCTGTCCTGGAGAGGGGCAGCCCGGGGCCTCTGGCTGCTGCTTGTGTTGCTCATGGATGGGTTTCTCTCCCTCCCACAACGCGCTCCCCAGATCTGCTGAAATCCAACAGCTCTCGCCTGCTGCTGGCCTCAGGGGACGGGATGGATTTCCAAGCCCTCCTGGTGGATGAAGACAGGGCCTGGCTGATGGTGGGAGCGAAAAACCACATCTTCCTGCTCCACCTGGACCATCCCAGCAGGGAGCCTGAGAAGGTCAGCGCTGGTCCCTTCCTCCCAGGAGCCGCTCCTGGTTCCATGCGGGGCGCGGAGGTGGATGCGCTCGGAGCTGGGCTGCTCTAACGTCACCAGGGACACATTTACACCAGGATGTCCCAATCAGTGGGGTCATCCCAGCCCTGGCGGTGCTGAGCCCCACTGGGATGGGCCGACGCCAGGGAGGGCCAGGGCCAGGAGACCTGGGCGGACCTGGGTGCGGTGCAAGGGCAGTTCCCCCATCCCTGTAATCCCACCTCTCCCTGCTGCTGGTGCAGGAGCTCCAGCAGCCAGAGCACTAATGTCATCCCAAGACATCCTGCTGGCGGGTGCGCCGCTCCAGCCCCACAAAGGAAAAGCCCATTAAGGCGCTGCAGCCTGGCGTTCCCATGGGCTGGGATCCAGGATCCCCTGCCCACTGCCGGGCGTGCCGTGGCCCACCCAGCCCTGACCCCGTGCCAGGTTCCCTCTGAGCCTGTTTGCAGGCTGCCTGCCAAGCTCAGCCAGGCCCCGGGGACCCAGGAGCGTCGGAGCCAGTGCAGAGCAGCCCCTCACCGTGTGCCTAAGCCTGGCCTCTTTGGCCAAGTGCGCTCCCATCAGTGCCCCTGGTCAAGGAAAGCAGGGCTGCATCCTGGGGTCTTTGTGTTGCAGATATTCTGGCCAGCCTCCCGGGAGCAGGTCGAGCACTGCCAGCTGGCTGGGAAGAACGTGGAGGTAAGCAGCTTACCACGGGTATTAAACACCAGCATCACCCCGTAACGGAGCCCTGCGCCCTGCCTGACATGAGGCTGTTGAGCCAGCCAGAACTCAGCTCAGCTTGCCAGCTGCCAGGGCAAGAGCTGGCGGGGCTCCTGCATCCCATCCCACCGTGGGGCTGGGCATGGGCTCAGCCCTATAACAACCATCTCCCCTCGTGCAGACCGAGTGTGCCAACTTCATCCGCCTCCTCCAGCCCTTCAACAGGACCCATGTGTTTGCCTGCGGGACCGGCTCCTACCAGCCCGTCTGTGCCTTCATCCAGCTGGGAGCCCGGGGGAAGGTGAGGGACACCCAGGCCAGACCCCCCTTCCTTCACCCCATTGAGACCTCCCTTTCAGCAAGTGGGGGGTACTGGGAGCCCGGGAGTCAGCCTGGTGGTCCCTGGCACTTATGCGTCCTTGCTGAGCACGGCAAGGAGCAGCCCTGGTGTGGCAGTGCCATGTGCCCTCCATGGGGAAAGCACCAGGCCATAGCAGCCCTCTCAAGTGACCTGCTCATCAGAGCTGAGCCCTTCCAGCTCTTCTCCATGCACCCAGCTTGTTCCCAGCCTCCCCCATGGCTGACACGTCCCCTTTGGCTCTGGCAGGCTCCTGGAGCTCCCACCATGCGCTTGGTGACTCACTCCTTGGAATCGGGGCGAGGACGGTGCCCGTACAGCCCCCATGAGCCCTTCACGGGGCTCCTTGTGGGTAAGAGGAGAGGGCAGCAGAGGATGCTGAAGGTGGGAGTGCTGGGACCGGTCTGTGCTGGGAGGTGCTGGCAGCAGTGCCTGCTCCTGCTGTGGTCCTGTGCTGATGCCCAGGTGTGTGTGAGCGAGAGGAGCCACCCCGCAGAGCCTGCTCCTGGCCCAGCTCATGGCTCCTGCACAGAATCACAAGTGCGGGTGTAGATGGAGCAGGGCACACATGGGGAGTGCAGCAGCAGCAGCAGCAGCAGCAGCCGCCTGCCCACCTTGTACCAGCACTGAGGAAGGGGCAGGCAGTGGCTGTGCTGGCTCACGGGCCCAAAGGATGCTCCCAGCCAGGCTCTGCGACCTCCACCCTCCCTGCACCTCCGGGGACACAGGGGAGTCCTGCCAGGGAGCCTCCATCAGTGGCACCCAACCCACCCAGCACCCCTCTGACCCGCAGATGGGGAGCTGTATTCTGGTACCTCCAGCGACTTCATGGGCAGCAGCGCTGCCTTCTTCCGGACCTGGGTCCATGGGGCCGAGCAGAGCTACATCCGGACGGAGCAGAACCAGGACCACTGGCTACATGGTAGGAACAGGGGCAATGGGGGCTCTCCTGCCCGCAGGGGAGAGGCTGTGGCCAGCACTGGGCCCAGAGCTCGGTGGTCTGGTTCTCTTCACCTCTCCTGGGGGAGGCACCGATGAAGCCTCTGGTGGGACTCAGGCTCCAGCGCACACTCTGCAGCCCGAGCACCAGGAATGGGGCTCTGCCACGGGGCTCCATGGGGCTCCCTCCGTACCCTCAGCACCTCACACCGCTGCCAAGGGCAGTACCACAGGCTCAGATCAGGGCACAGGGACACGTTGTGCTGTTCCTTCCCCCTGCAGAGCCCGCATTCGTCGGTGCCTACGCCATCCCTGATACCTACAACCCGCACGATGACAAGGTCTACATCTTCTTCCGTGAGACAGCCATGGAAGCTGGGCAGTGGGAGAGGCGGCACATCCATGCCAGGGTGGCCCGGGTCTGCAAGGTCAGTCCGCAGAGGCCAGCAGGCCATGGCTGGGTGTCCCATCAGGTGGGATTCACCTCCTCCGGGCCAACAGCAGGACATGAGGGTGACAAAGAGCAGAGGGCTCAGGGCTGCGGGTGACCTGCTATGGGGATGGAGGAGAGAGGTGTGGGGGAGGCTCGGAGAGGGCTGAGCCTGGCTGTTGGTGCTGCAGAACGACGTTGGAGGGAAGCACAGCCTCATCAACCGCTGGAGCACGTTCCTCAAGGCCCGCCTGGTGTGCTCCATCCCCGGGCCCCACGGCACCGAGACCCACTTTGACCAGCTCGGTGAGTGCACAGCCCAGTCTGCAGCTGGAGCAGCGCGGCCGTGGCTGCTCCTCCCAGCATCCAGGGGGGTGGGACTGGCACTGAGGATGCCCACTGCATCCCCTGGGCTGGCGCTCCAGCTCCTGTGCCTCACATCCACCCCTCTCGTTGCAGAGGATGTTTTCCTCCTGCGCACCCGGGACCCCCAGAACCCCCTCGTCTTTGGGCTCTTCACGGTCTCCAGGTGAGCAGGGCTCTGCTACCCCCTCCCTGGGGCAGTGCAGACCACCAGCCCCTCGCTAGTGCTGCTCCATGGGGAGATGGGCAGTCCTGGATGGGCAGAAGGGCAAGAGTGGCACCCAGCTGGCAGGAGAAGGGCCACCAGCCAAGTCACTGCTTCCCCTGCTGCTGGCTCACCAATCCATCTGCCAAGCCACCAGGCTTGCTGTTGGCATGGACAGCAGTTGCCCAGGCTGGACCGGCTGTGCCAAAGGGACTCCATGCACAACCCCAGGGCTGACAGGAGTTGGGTGGGCTCAAGGGTGTCCCCATGGAGCAGCAGGGACCCCGACAGCCCCACGCTCCCCACAGCGGTGTCTTCAGCGGCTCTGCCGTCTGCGTCTACTCCATGGCTGCTGTGAGAGCTGCCTTCAGCGGCCCCTTCGCACACAAGGAGGGGTTTGACTACCGCTGGGTGGAATACAAGGGCCGTGTCCCCTACCCTCGCCCTGGCACGGTAAGGGGCTGGGGAGCGGGGTGGGAGCGGGCAGGACAGAGTGGCCCGGCCCTGATGCAGCCTCCGTGCCTCCATGCAGTGCCCCAGCGAGACGTACGACCCCCTCCTGCAGTCCACCAAGGACTTCCCCGACGAGGTGATCAGCTTCATGCGCACCCACCAGCTGATGTGGGAGCCCGTGTACCCGCAGGGCCGCCAGCCCGCCCTGGCCAGGGTCAACGTTCCTTACCGGCTGCGGCGCCTGCTGGTGCACAGGCTGGAGATGGAGAACCGGCACTACGATGTGCTCTTCCTTGGCACAGGTGGGAGCTCACTCTGCCCTGGGGATGCTGTCCGCATAGGGATGCTGTGAGCACGGGGATGCTGTGAGCACGGGGATGCTGTGAGCACGGGGATGCTGTGAGCACAGGGATGCTGTCAGTAGAGGGATGCTGTCTGCACAGGGATGCTGTCAGCAGGGCACACCAGCCCTAACAGCTCCTTCTCTCACTGCATTCACAGATGAAGGCAAAGTCCTGAAGGTGGGGCTGGCCGGTGGCGTGAGCCGTGGCACGGAGGTGATCAGCCTGGAGGAGATCAGTGTCACTAAGGTACAGGAGGCCAGGGCTGGGCCACGCAGCCACCCCTCACCCTTTGGCATCCTCCCTCCAAGCTCCTGCAGCAGGTCACTGGCCTCTCTTGGGTCCCTCGCCTCTCTGCCGGTGGCAGCCCATGCAGTTACCACGGAGGGGAAGCAGGAGCACTAGAGCCACATCATCTCCCAGCTCCCGATCCACTCCCTGGGGGCACAGGGGTGCCCACCAGAGCTTGAACTGAAATGGGGGGGGCTGAGCCCAAGTTTGAAAGCGTGGCTGCAGGCAGGGCCACATGGAGCAGGGCTCAGGCTGCTCACATGGAGCCAGAGGAACTGGGAGCAGGGACCGGGGCCAGGGTCTCCACCCCACTGGCAGGATGGGGCACCCAGGAGGTGCCCCCAGGGCTGCAGCGCCCTCTCCTTCCCCTCCAGGTGCCTTCTCCCATCCTGGACATGAAGCTGTCACTGAAGCGGGTGAGTCCTCCCTCCTGCCCCAGCCGCTCTGCCTGGCTGCCTTGGCCCCAGTGTTTGCATGCGTAGGGAATGGGATCCTGCCAGGGCAGCCTCGCATTCCCCCTGCCTCCCAGTGCCCCCACCCCAGCACGGCCGGTTCCGCAGCTTGCCCCAGTCCCCAGCCATGGGTGCTGACTGCTCCTGTTCTTGCCTGAGCAGCAGGAGCTGTTTGTGAGCAGCACCCACGGGCTGATCCAGCTCTCCCTGTACCGCTGCGAGCTCTATGGCAAAACCTGCACCGACTGCTGCTTGGCCAGGGACCCTTACTGCACCTGGGACAGCAGGACCTGCGCCCCACACGTGCTCACCGAGAAGAGGTGAATGTGAACCCGCCCCAGCCCTGCTGCTCCCATACAAGGGGATGGTGTTTGCAGCAGGGAAGGGCAAGCTTTGTCCACCGGCCCAGACCCCTATTTCCCCCCTGCCCTCCTTGCTCCCTGCCTGCTCTGCCATGAGGGGTCCCACAGCCCTGTCTGCTGCCCCACAGGCGTGCCCGCTGCCAGGACGTGCTGAAGCCGGACCCGCTCAGTCAGTGCCAGGACCCCGCAGAGGGTGAGCCCCAGCCTCGCCGGGGAGCCCGGTGCGGGCACCAGCTCTGCCCAGGGCCAGCGCGGTGCTGGGACCCCAGTGTCCAGCGCAGAGCCTGTGCTGGGTGCTCCGTGCTTCCCTCCCTCCCTCCCCGCCGGCCACACGCAGCTCCCGTGCAGGATGCTCACCCTTCCCCTGTCCTGTCCTGCCCAGGGCCGGCTGCTGTGGAGAAGCTGGTGTTTGGCGTGGAGAAGAACTCAACGTTCCTCGAGTGCCTGGCGCGCTCCCCGCAGACCACGGTGCGGTGGCTGGTGCGGCACGGCGAGGACACGGACCTGAGCGAGGTACGAGGGGCCGGGGCAGAGGGACGAGGCGCAGGGGTGGCTGTGTGCCAGGGGCTGACCCGCGGTGCTCTGCCCTTGCCGCAGGTCAGGAGCGACGGGCACTTCTCGGTGCTGGAGCAGGGGCTGCTGCTGCGGCAGCTGGCTCCGGAGGACGCGGGCACCTACGAGTGCCAGGCCATGGAGCGCTCCTTCTCGCGGCCCCTCACCCGGTACAGCCTGCGCGTCATCAGGCACGAGGCCATGGAGCTGCCACCTTACAAACGGAGCAAGGGAGCCGAGCTGGGAGGGAGCCAGCAGAGCCCCCGGCCCCGCATTGACCTGCACCCCGGTTACAAGGGCTTCCCGCGGGCCCTGGGGGCACCGGGCACCAGCCTGGATGCCTACTGCAACGCCCTGCGCCTGCAGGAGAGGCAGCGGCAGAAAGCCTGGCACCACAAGTGGCAGCACCCATCCGCGGACAGCAAGAGCGGCCGGGTGCGGCGGCACCGCCGGCCCCTGTGAGGCGCAGAGGAGCCGGGGCCGCCCGCTGCTCCCTCCCCGCTCCGCCCGGGGCCCTTCTCGCTCCCAGGATCCGCTCCGACCGAGACGCCTCAGCTTCCTGCGCACAAAGCGCCTCGCTGGTACTACCTCAACCCTGCCAGGCCCCTCCATGCTCCCCACAGGGCACGCAGCCCGCCCCGGCTCCGAGACTCAAAGCTATTGACACCCTGCAGAGTATTTATTCTCCCCGTTTTCCCCTGGCCCCTCATGACAATTGTTATCCGCAGCAATAATAAGCACAGAGGACAGAGAAGGGGAAGGGTGAGCTCCCACAGATGGCTCTCCAACACCCAGCAGCATCCAGCCCTGCCATGGACATCGTGCCCCCAGCCTGCCTCCCTTCCACAGGGAGCAGGCGCCTGTGGGGTGCTCACTTGGGTGGCTGCAGAGGTACCGGTGGATTCCAAATGGCACTGGAGCACCTGGGGTTTGAGGAGATGCCCATACCCAGCTCTGCTCCACTTCAGAGCACACCAGCTGGTTGATTCTGACATGTATTTTACAAAAACAAATCAAAGAGAGCCACCAGGCAGTTATACCAACTTACAATTTATTATTTTTTTAAAAAATGACATGAAACACAAGTAAAAATAAATACATCATATAAACAACAAATTGTTCAAAGTCTCTGTTCTGGGAGATCAGGCGAGTGCATCCCGTTCAACACAGGGAAGAGGGACGCACACGATCACGCGTGGGGCCATGCGACCAACCCACCCTGCTAGCGAGACTCCTCTTTCCAACCACAAGACAGGCCACAAACTAAGGCGGTAGTGAAAAGAAAACCAAACCAGGAAAAGAACCCCAAACCACCAGAAAACCCCAGATGAGGCTCAGCGATGGAATCCTTCAGGCTCCCTGGGTCTGCCAGAGACTGCAGCTCCGAGCCCGGTGCCACAGGCAGCCCCGTGGGAGGCAGCGGGTTGCTCTCCCTCCCTTCCACTGTGTCCCCTTGAAGGGAGCCCTTGCTCTGAGTCACAAGGAGCCATCACCTCACTGTATCCTAACTGGACTATGTTCCCCTCTTAACCTCTGCCCCCCGCCCCAGCCCTCCCACCCCGGTCCTTCCAAGACTGGATTAACAAAGTTCACTCCAGTGTGGCGAGAAACACCGGCCATGAAGGTATTGCCTGGAAACCACTCACAAACCAACAGCAATTCTCTTGCATACACCCATTTGCTGACATCATTAAGCCAAAATACAAAGTGAAGCCCCCATGGAAATCCCATCCTTTGCTTGCTGGAGTAGCGGCTCAGTGAGCACCTGCATCCACCCCACCCAGGCACCCCAGTGCAGTCAGTGTGCAGCAGATCCATGGGCCAGGCTGGGCTGCGTTGCTCCCTCCCCACAGAGCTTCCCGATACCCCAAGGGCCACACCAGTAGGAAGCAACAAGAACATCAAGACTGAGGCACAGCCACAGTCCCTCTCCCTGCCCCGGGCATTATGTCCTGCAGCAGTACCCAGCCTTCACCCACTGCACCCAGGAGGGGAAACCTCCCACCTTAAGAGAAGGGCTGGGTGCCAATGTGGGGTGCAGCTGGACACCCCCACAGCCCTGTGCTCAGAGATCTTCTTTAGTGTCCAAACCCCTCTACACTGCTGCCCTCAGCGTCACCCAAAGCCCTGGCACCAACTGGCAGCTGCTTCCATGCGGTCATTGGGAAACAGGAACTCAGCAGCAAAAGCAAAAGTTAACCCCTGCAGGGAGAGCCTCTGTTCTGGGCTCAGGGAAACGCAGACAGAACCCTCTGCAGCACAACCACAACATCTGGGGAGGGAAATCCCATGGGAGAGGGGGTTTAGGGCTCAGCGAGGTCCCCCCCACTTGGAAAGCCCCATCATAACCCACACATCCTCATGGCATTTGTGGGGTGGAGGAAACCCTTCCCACCATGCTGCAGGTGCCCCCGGTTGCCCTGGAGGACCCCCAGCTGCTGCCAGCCCCCAGCCAGGGTAGCACTGTTACCGCTGTGACCACCTCCAGGCAAGGCTCTGAGGCAGTGCCCGGGGCTGGTGAGGGGGACAGAGGTGCTGCATGGCCCCACCATGCTCAGGATAGGTGCCTGGGGCTCTAACTTGGGTGCTTGCTGGGCAGGGTCACCATGCTGTGGCTGTCTCAGGCTACAGATGTATCCCAGCACAAGGAAGCCCCTCGCAGCTGGTTGCATCGGGGGACAGACACAGCATGGGAGGGCAATGAGGGGTCTTTAAACTGCCATGGCCATGCAGGAGCCAGGAGAGCCCTTGCACTTCACCCTGGTGCACTGCCAGCCCATTGCACAAGCATGCATGGAATGGGCTGCCCAGGGAGGTTGTGAATGCTCCATCCCTGGCAGTGTTCAGGGCCAGGTTGGCACAGAGCTTTGGGTGCCATGGGTTAGTGTGGGGTGTCCCTGCCCATGGCAGGGGGGTTGGAACTGGATGATCTTAAGGTCCTTTCCAACCCTAACTCTTCTCTGATTCTACGCACCCTGCAGCAGCCAAGTGCTGGCCACCGCCAGCTCCTAATAGCCACAGGGCTTGGGCTGTGCCGAGGAACCCCCAGAGATCAGACAGCAGCATGGGATGCACCAGGGCCCACTGAGGAAGCCCCGGGTGCTCTCCTAGAGAGGCAAGGAGCAGAGAAAGGAGCACAGGCCCAGGTACCACATCCAGAGCCGCAGTGCCAACCGTGTCCCAGCACAGAGCCACAGAGGGTCCCTTGGATGAATCCCGCTGCCCTGACGGCCACCCATGAGGACAGGGGCTGCAGCAGGGCACTGGTGAGGGGCTGCTCCCACTCCGGCCTCCCGCATGCACCCACGGGTCTCAACACTCGCTACTCTGGACAAGGAAAGCCCTTGCCTAGGTCCATTCCCCAAATCCACCGGCAAACTGACAGCCTCACAGGAATGCAACGGACATCTGGGCAAGCTCGTCATACAATCAGTGTCACAGGGTTGGGCATGAGGTGGACACACAGAGCACAGGAGGGCACGACTCACAGATGCAGCACTGTCAAGTCTTTGGAGAAACTTGCATGAACACCATCAGTTAATTTGCTTTGTTACTTTTGTGGGGGGGTTTGATTTTTATTTCCATGGTGCATCCAAAGACAAGTTGTCCAGCAGTTTGCTCAGAACCCCTCGGTTTTCAACTCCTAGGATATGTTAAAGAAGAAAGCACTATTTTAATGTTTGATTTTTTTTTTTTCAAAAAATAATTAAAATAATTTGCATAGCTAAACTGTTGATCTAAGGCTTCTATGAATGGTGTGGTTATGTTTGACAGACAATGTCCACTGAACAGAGAAAGACACTAGGAAAGCCCCGTAACATCTTTTATTATGATTTTGTAATGCACGTATGCACACACACCCCTCTCTCACTCAGGAAGGGAGGTCCCAATCTTCCATCGCCCCTTTGATGGAGGATGTCAGGACATCCCGCTCTTTCCTACTAGTTGGTCCCAGCAAACACCAGTGACTGCAGCTTCCGCAGCCTGAGAGGTCCCCTACAAGCTACCAGTGCTCTAAGGTCCCAGGAACATCCCACATAAGGAAGGGAGCACATCTGCCTCGTAACACAGACGCGACACAGAGATTCCTGGATTCCAAGTCTCCATCCTAACATGTTCACACACAGTCACACACACCAAGTCCAGCTGCAGTTGGGTAGCCCAGCCTCTCCTCAGGAGCCCTGCACCAAGGTAAGCAGCCAGCATGTTTGCTGCCAGGGCTAGGGCCAGCCTCTGCTCCCATGTGCAGAGCTGGTCTGAGCCAAGCACAGCAGCTCTGCCTTCCTAACTCCGCATGCCCCACAGCCCTCTTCCTCACTGGGAAGGAGCATGGGAGGCTTTCCAGCCTTTCTACTTGCCCCAACACAACAAGAGGACTCCATCCTCTTTCCAGCTGCTGCAGAACACGCAGAGCAGCTCCTCCCTGCTCTGACATGATCCCCTGATGGGCACATGCAGCCAACATGACACGGCTCAGAAACAGGCAACCTCCGCAGCTGGCCCTGCTTCTAGGCTATGCTTTGGTCAACCGGCTGCTTCTCCCCACACAGATAACCCAACAAGCAACCACTGCACGATGGAGGCCAGCATTTTATTTTTTAACATGGAAATGAGTTTAAAAGTAGAAAGACTCCTCCAAACAATAAATACAATGCCTTCAAGAAATAAATTAATGTAGAGATTCTGTGCAGGGGGAAGTTGCTTCAATCACAGATTCAACAGCAACCAGCACTGGGTCCAGTGTGTGTGTGTGTCCCTCCAACCTTCTCCCTTGCCTTGAACTGTTCAGAAGCAGCAGGGAGCCCACCTCCTGTGGTGGGCCACAGCTGGGTGGGACATGGCCATGGAAAAGCCACAGAACCAGGGAAGTCACCAGGATTCCCCTCTGATGGCCACTGAGACATCTGGGATTGCTTCACTCATCTGGCACACAGAGCTGGCATGAGAACCACAGGACCAACCTACCTTGGATGGGACCCTCCCGAAGGGCCCAGGGGAGCCCCCACCAGAGCCCTGCGGCAGGGGCTGCCGGGAGCCCTCACGCTAGTTCCATGTGGATTTGAAGAGGATCACAAATTGTTTGTGGGGTGTTTCTTTTTTTCTCTTCTTTTTCTTACATCAATCCCACCCCCCATATGTGATGTAGAAGCCCCCCCCCACCCCACTCCCTCCCCAGTAAAAACACTTCGTCCCTGGAGTCACCCCCCCCACCCCAAGCCCACACCTCCAGGAGTGAGAGAAGTTCACAGATAAGGCAGTTCATGTGAAAGGGAGCTCGGCCCTGCCAGTGGTCAAGCCTGTGCCTCCAGGCCTGAGAAGGGCTTTGACTTGCAGCACCAAGCCTCCCCCTTCCAGACAAGACAGAGAACAGTGACAGACAGACAGACAGAGCATGGGAGGGAGGCACTCCTATGGTTTGCATTGCTGCTCCCCTCCTCCCCTGGCTCTTGCTCCCCTCGGCCCTCAGGCCCTCATGGGTCCTCTCTCTCCTCCTCCCATCTCCCAGCCCCTAATACAGTTCAGATCCTTAACAGCTAAAACAACAACGAAACAAAATGGAACAACGAAACAAAACCACCCCCACGCCACACCCTTCGCATCTTTCTCCACCTGCTGCAGTGG